AAGAGAAGAGATTACAATTGTTTATTAGAAGTGTCGTTGTATTGTAATAGGTGAATTTAGTTTTATTCCGAAGATTGTCGCCAAGTCCTAAAAAAATATTTTTTATAAGCCTGGATTGGCTTTAAGAAGACAAAGAGGCTGATTTGAAAGTGCGAAAATCGAAACGCGATATTTCGGCTAAGCTAATTAATTTCCAATTAGTTGATTCTTATAATTAATATTTTTAAAGCGATTATTATCTGTTGTATAATTAAAAATTATTAAATAATATGTATATAGAAGACTATTTTAGGAATATAGTAGTCGACGGTTAATCATATTTGGATTTAGAGGGGGGGAAAGAGCGCGGATTTCCATTTGGGTGAAGGCATGCAAGGGTTCGTCATCCTGGGCTTTTCGTTTCCAGCCCGATTGTGCCCTCATAGCAAGAAACCTTCTAAAAAAGATCAAAAACTAAAGATTGTCCTTGTGGTCTTGTCGAACCGCAAAATTATATTATAATTGATTTTTTTTCCTTTTCCATTTAACGAAATAAAGTGGGCTAAATTACAAAGCTTAATTGTTGAAATAAAATTTATAGTTAAATTTGTTTGTATATTGATTAAAGAATAATTATTTATATTTAACTGAAGAAACAAGAGTTTTTCAAAAATGAAAATAAAAAATATTTTTAGCGATTCAAATCTCAGAATAATTGCAAGCTCTAAACATATGTAGTTGGGTAAAATTGTAAAAAATTTAATTACATTTAAAGATGCAGAGGTACATATTTTAAAAATTTATTCAGCGAGGATGGGTTTATTGAAGAAGAAAAAAACCATTTGATTTGTCATATTTCTGAGGTTCAATTATTATATAAATAATGAAATTGTATGTTGTTATACTCAAAAATAGTTTATTTTGGTTTTCGAACCAATCAATTCAGACGAGCGTAAATCAATTCATTTGATTTTTGTTACTATTCGATTTCTGGAGAATTTGGTTTATGTATAGAGAATGTAATTCAGTTAAGATGAACCGGGGTTTTATTTCAGCTTTGGTTTTGTCTGCTAACAACCCAGCAAGCAACCCCTAGTATATAAACGTCAACGCCACTTGGAATTTGATGAAGGAAAAAGCATTTGGTTGTTATTTATTTTTGCGTTTGAATGTTAATTCATGTTAATTAGATTGACGGTTATTTTATCTTTTGGGACCAAACCGATTTTATTCCTAATTGTATCCTCACTAGTGGCCACAAAAAGCTCAAGGAATCAAGCCCGCTTTTTTTTTGCGGGTCTGATAATTCACGTGGAATAGTCAAAACGTGGCGGGTCCGTAGATCTTTCTTCAGTTTCACATCTGTCATTGGGTTGATTCTTAAAACGAGGGCTGCAGCCGAATGATTGATTGTCGCAACTGTCCCTCTCTTGTCTTTTCCCCCTATTTATACATTCCCCTCATAGAAAAAAATCGATAGACAACAGCGGCGAGGAGAAATTTAGAAGATGTGTTTAGCCCGTGTTGAGGGTTGAGAAAAATCGAAATTGAAGAGAGGTGGCGTTTGGGAAAGGCCTAGAGGAGATTTGTGTTCCCTTTCGCAATTCCCGGTCGTCGTTTTTAGGTATCTTCTCTTTCCTGGTCTGGTCATTTTCTTTATCGTTTCTTCGGAATATACTTTTTGGTTTTTTAAATTGGTGTAATTGGCTTGTTCTTTGTTTCTGTTTTTTTTTTTTTTTTTTTTTTTTTTTATTTTTTTTGTTTTTTTTTTTGACTTGAAATAGTGCATGTTTTAATTGAAATTTGCCAGCAACTACTGTGCCCTTTTTTTTGGCAGCAACCGTGAAGAAGCTTTTTAATGCAATGTGGGAGCAGCTTTCAAGGCATCGAATTGGAATACTGGAGAGTAAGGTTACTGCATTAATCTTTGTAATTTTCTGTTTGATGCCTTGGGATAAAATCTTAAATTTTTTAAAATATGAGAAATTGATAAAGTGATAGAATTTTGGTTTAATTATGTCTGAAGATAATTTTCTTCACGACGAATTTCGTCCAAAATTTGTTAAGTTCATTTGTAAAACCAGGGGTTATTTAATTTATTTGCCCTTATCTTTTAAAGAGAGGGGAAAAAAAAAAAAAAGGCAAGATGAGTAACTCTCTTTTATTTGTTTTTTTTTGAAGGTGAATGGTAAACGAGATACAGAATCAGCTTTTAGCAGAGTGGACTGGACACGCCACTGGTGGCCTGAAGCGTTTTCATGTGGGGGCAAGCACATTGGTGGCTGTTGATGGTGATGCTCTTAATGTTGCTAGCTATGGCCGAAGCCAACATGCTTTTTGTTTTTTTTTTTTTTTTTTTTTTTAGGCCCTTTGCTTATATAACGTTTGCCTTTTTAACTTTTTTAAAGAAACTAGCTGGCTCAAACAGCTAAATCAAGCTGAATGCTAAACTGAAAAAGAAGATAGATTTTGCCGAACAAGCCATTTGTTCAATATTATTAGTTTCCTTTTTTTTTTTTTTTTTTTTTTTTTTTTAGCCTTTTATAACGTTTGCCTTTTAACTTTTTACGAAAAACTAGCTGCTCCAACAGCTAAATCAGCTGAATGCTACTAAAAAGAAGATAATTTTGCCGAACAAGCCATTTGTTTCAAATTATTAGTTTCATTTCCAGATTTTGCTAGTGGAGTTTCCCTGTTGTTTGCTTATTAAATGGGTTTTGATATATACATATTTATATATACTGTCATTGCAGCAACTACAGGCTTGCACGGTGAAGGAAAGCTGGTTCCTCTGCTTACTGAAGCTGGAGCTCTTGCTGCTGCTGTTGCCAAGGCTTAAGCTATAAAGGAGTTGGACTACCTTGTTAATAAAAAATAACTATGTTTGTGTTTATTTTATGTTGGTAAAACTTTAAACCGATCAGATTGAATACATTGTATGTGTTCTGATCTGATGGTATCCAGTGTCATTCTCAATATTGCAAGTCTGAATATATGGCTGTTTAAATAGCCCAGTGTTGAAAGAATATTAACATGAAATTCTATGATTTTCCTCACATTATCTACAGATTTTTGTACTCTAGCAAATGCTACGGGTGTTAAAGATGAGTCCGCATAATATATATATATATATATATATAAAGTTGCATTTTTATTCTTAAATAGACGGGTTAGATAAGTCAATGTAAAATTGCATTTTTATTCTTAAACTTGTCATACATGTTTGTGACTCCATCCGTTTAAATTCGTGATACTTAGTTTTAAACCATGTAATTTGTCAGTGGAATGTAATTTTTTTTAAAGTGGCGGTAAAATGTTTTTACCCTTTCATAAGTGGTGGTCAACCTAAAAAACAATAATAATAATAATAATAATAATGTGCAATATTTGTGGGCAAATTCATGTATTCCTGGGATCTTGAATTATCTAATTTTAGTAAGAGACTCACCTTGTTTTGTACATACATTTTTACCTCTAGTGTCTAATTTCCCTAGACTAATCCTCTCCCTTGCGCCCCCGATTGCTTCTTCACTTTCTTGTCAGTATCGTGTATGGTGTTTCTTCATGCAATCCCGTCTGGAAACACCTTGCTGTGCTCTTGGTGTGTCAATTACCTTTAGACTTTGAACGAAGTAATTAAGCATTGCAGGAACTCTACCCTTTTGCGTTAAATTCTGTGTCTTAACAGTATTGGTACATTTTTCATCTTAGACATCGATAAGACTCGGGAAACCATTTCGACAAAATGCTGTGTTTCATTTTGATGATCAGTGCAAAGAAGCCATAGCATGGCAAATGCATCAAGCCTATCATCAAGTACCTGTAAATCCATATCAAAGAAAAATATCAAAATGTACATATGACGTAAAAACAGAACAAGTTTGTCATAAAAAAATAACCTCGAAGCATAATCATGGCAAGCGCAAAACTTAATTTCAAACCGTCTCCAGGATTATTCAAATTAACTTTGTAAAGCATAAATTTGATTTATTTCCTATATGAAAGGGTAATGAGAGTTTGGAGGTACAAACCACAATGGAGCAAATGGTGATGACAAGTCAAGGAATGGATATGGCCACCTGAAATGACAGACAATAGTCCCACTATTTGTTAGGGAGACAAAGATGGGGAAGAGGAAAGTTAAAAGGGAAAAGAAAATCACCAAATTGATACACAAGCATGAAAAATCCACTGGAGAATGACAAAACTACCCGTCCATAGAATGAAGTAAGACATCCGAAACCAAGGAAATGGCTGAAATGGAGTAAAGAAAAGTAAATGAATGATAATTGGAAAAGAATTCATGGAAAAGAAAAAAGAAAAATAAAAGCTATTAATTTACCAGGCAATTCAAAGCTGCATCACCAAGGAGTACAATAACATTGAGCGAGTGCATATTTACTGTCATCTGATATGATTTTAAGACACCAAAAGAAAAGAACAAGAAAAGAATCAAAATAGATAAACCAAGATGTGAGGAAAAATAGAAGCATCACAATTCACAACTAGTAATCCATTACATATTGTGGCCACTAGGTCCAATTTGCTGAACCTCTGAAACCCAAAAGACAAGGTATAAACACAGAATATAGACAAAACAGCTAAAATGGTCTCAAGATTAAGCATGGTCAAAGTTAGGCCAAGGCTCGTTTGAGCACAACGACCATTTAACATATTTATGTGATATCTCTAACCCCAATGAAGCGCATACTGTGGATATTGATGTTTAATTTGGAAGGTTAGAATGACAGAAATGTAAGGGATGCTCAACCCCGGATGAGATCAGCTCCCAACTTTGAGATAATGAAACAAAATCATGTAGGAAACTGGAGGTAAGAAGGCAGGCACTGGGTACTGATAGTACCCAAATCAGTAAGACTTGGAAAAAAAAAAAAAAAAAAAAAAAAAAAAAAAACTTAAAGAATAGTATAATAATGGGTTCACAGGCTGTCGTTCAACTGAGCATTAGCTTCGTCAAGAAAAAAAAAAAAAAAAAAAAAAAACTTAAAGAATAGTATATAATGTCACAGGCTGTCGTTCACAGCATTAGCTTCGTCAAGTGCTTAGGCAATGAAGAAAGACATATATCAAATTGCCCAATTGAAAGGCTAGTTCTGCCTTCCCAAACCCTCCTAAGCCAAAGCCATAGGAGATAGCACTTGGCGCAAGATGCTGGATAAATTTTATAAACAGAAATTATATATGCATGAGTATGTATACAAGCATCGTAGACATATGCCATCCAAGAGATTACATTTCCAAAAAGATACAGTAAGATTCCAGCATGAACCAACAAGTCTTTCATTAGCTAATACGCAAGTAGGGAATATTAACATGTGACTGGATCAAGTGCGCCTACAGTTATATCTAGATGCAGGAACCAGTAAAGAAAATAGGTCAATAGCTGATTTAAAATGTCGTACTTACAAAATTCAGATTGTAATCTCTGATGGTAAGAAATGGAAAAATAATGGCCCAATAAACACAATCAGTAAGCATGACCGCCCCAGCATTCATCTGTTTATGATAGATGAAACAGAGGAAATTGTGAGAGAAACAAAAAAGAATATAGAAAGAAGATATTCTCATAATATACTTCCAATTTTTATCAAAATGTAAAGCAATTCTATTAGACAAATGCTTTCAGAGATAAGACTATTTGAAGGCCAAAACTATGCCTGATAGCTGTACATGTTAAAAATCTCAGGTAGAGGGCTAGGAAACTTCGAATTAACAGATGGTTACTTTGCATTCATTAGTAAGAAACTTCCCCTACCAAGTTGTACAAGAACATGGCACCAAAAAAAACCAAAAAAAAAAAAAAAGAGAACATTTGAATCCTATAAACATGGAAAAAAATAGAAGTATTTGACAAATTACTGTCCAGCCATTTTAACATTCAGATTCAAATGCTTTGGACCCTATCTGCTATCTCCACTGTACCAAAGCTTTTTCAGCTTGGAAGAGAATTTACCTGGAATAGAACTTGAAAGAGATAACTGGAAATGCTTGCTGCTTGAAAATCATAAAATCCCTCTTCAGTATTTGAGGATTTTCGCACACTTGGTATATTTGTCCTTTCGTCGTATGTCAGAGGAACGAAGTACCCCTGCTCAGCATGGTCTCCAACAACATCATGGATATGAGATACGGCCTTGTCCATATTGTGATACCGGTAACACCCACAGATGGATAGCAGTAACCCAAACTACAAATTAAGTTGAGATCATAATGAACATGGTTAACGCTCCAAGTGCAAAATGATGCCAGAAATATTATTTGAACAAATGCAAAAGGTTGTTCACAAGCAAACTGCATCCATGATTATGACAGCTAAAGTAACTGTACTGTACAATACAAATTGGATGATACATTCAATCAAAATAGAAGGGAGTGTCTAGGGAGGAAAACACATACCCCAAAATAAATGGTAACAGAAGTAAAAGTCCACCTGTGGAATCCCAAAGCTAAAATTAGATTAAGAAATAAAATAAAAATTTTAAAATTAGCTTGAAATCTGGAAGGACTAAACTTAGCTTGTAAAGAAAATTTTCAATTAATTGATCGACATAAAAGTTCAAACTCAATTTGTATTCAACAAAGATGAGAGATAGCATACTGGGTATAGTAGTAAAACATGCCAAATCCATTGGTAGAAACTTTGGAAATAAGTGAAGCCAAAAGCACAGAGAAAGCAATAGCTCGATAAGTCAATAACCAAATGGGGTGAATTTGCACAAGACAAGGCCTCCATGCTCTATCTTCATACAATGAATGATCCACCTCTTGCTGCGTTTTTCTTCTGCAAGATCTCAAATTATCCAAATCTTCATATTTCCAGATAACGAATAAAGATACAAGTACAGGAGTGAACACCCAGATTGCACATAGCAAGACTCTCCAGTTTAACCAGTAATTCAAGGTTGTAGAATCAGGGGTAACCAATAGCTGCATATCCTGATAAAAAAATGAAAATGTTATACATACCCATTTCTTGATTCCTCATCAATTGCACAAATTCAGATTCTTGTTTTCGAAGTTGTTATTAAATGTCAACCAATTAAACAAAAAACAGAACCTAATTAACAAAAAGTGAATGAGAAAAGGGCACTCACAGTAGAAATAAAGAAAAAAAAGACAGTTTCCTCCTTTTGCTGTAAGTAATGAATTGGAAACACTATAGAAATGTGAAATAGGGTCGGCTTTCTATTGGTTTGGTGAAAAAAGAAAACTTAAAAGACGTTTAAAAGGGTAGACTTTATTTGCAGAGGCTGATCGGAAAGTTCTTGGAAATGAGTTTGCTGCGAGTGGGTGATCAAATTTTCATGGTAACGGAGGATAAAATCTATACGGACCAATTAAATTCATTTTTGTCGAGACAAATTATTTTTCCTTTTTGTTTGTGGAAATGATAGGAGTGGGACAGAGAATTTGGATGGTGGAGTTGACAATTGGAACACATGCTTGCGGCGATACGAGGACAACCAAGAGCAAAGCCGACATCCGATTCACACCATGACATTAATCATGGGTTAATTACAGATTGGTCCCTAGACTTTTTTTAATTAGTTTAGTTTGTATCCCACGCATAGGTACGACCATTGTTCGGTCTTAGGTCTAAATCAGTCAAAATCGATAATAAACTGTGATCAATGATTCTTGTTTAAAAAAAACGGTGTATTTAAAATTCGATTTCAGTTCTAGTGATGATTTTGGTTTAAAGTGGATAGTTCTGGTTTGGAACCATAGAAAACATTTTCTAAAAGAAATTTTCAATTTATTTTTTTATTTTTTTATAATTTTTAAAATAATTTTATAAATTTTTATTAAATTGGTTTAATTTTTTTAATAGGTATTATTATTTATTCAAGCTCTTGAAGTGATTATCTAATTTTTGGTCTCAAATCGGAATAAAATTGAAATTAGCATTTCAAAACCGGCTAAAAAATGACTGATTTTGGTTCTATTTTTTTTATAAAAGGAACTGATAATTTTAAAATCAAAACTAGTGATTTTAGAACCGTAGTAATATCGCCCATGTAGATAAAAGTTATTTTCGGGTACTCAACTGGTTTATTACAAATTTAAATAATTATAAATTGATTTTGAGAAAGTACATATTATAAAATTAACATAGGTGACTATTAGCTATCATATTCACTGTTAAGTGGATTTAATTGGGAATAAAAGCGAATATCTTACCATATATTATTATAGAAATATTGATATGAAAATTCCAACATTTGATCTTATAAATGAGTGTGAATTGGCGTAGTGTCAAATTTAAAGTATCGGTTGATTTTATAAATTCCAATATTTGAGTTGCACGTGGATCGAATTGATTGATTTAAAGTATCCAACTAATATGTGTGGATGAATATCCAATCTGATCCATAAAATGTTTAAACCGCAAATTATGTACAAGTTAGATTGGATACAGATTCATAGTAGACTTGTAACATCCCTTCCCGGTCCACCCGTTAACCCTAATGAACCGAGCCGAGACGCTACAATCTGGTTGAACTTATATCCTGTCATGCTGATATCATCCTGTATGCTAAATATCCCTAATGAAACCGAGCCGAGACGCTACAATCTGGTTGAACTTATAATCCTGTCATGCTGATATCATCCTGTATGCTAAATATGAATATAAAACACGTCCCAATTAAACTTCAAACTTTTCAATATCTCCAACTAATCATGAATAACAACAAGACAACACTTTATGATATATAGTCATAACTGTATAAATCTAATAAGGCATTTATATCGCAGCAATTAATTGCATTCATGATCTATATCAAGTCTTCAATGACCAAAAGCATTTAATATCTAGCAATTAATTTCATTCAGAATCTATATCAAGTTTTCATGACCTAATCATACCAACTATAGTAAACTATTTCATCATCAATCATTTCATAAGTATTATTCTTATCTCCAACTACTTACACCAAAATAATTACATGTTCTTTACAATCACATAAGCTCTAACAAACATAATACTTATACATGCCATAAATCTTAATACATGCCATAATTTTTAATATTACAACTCTCAATTTACTATGACCAAGTGAGTCACTTCTGCTTTGAACGTACTCCTTAAGTCTTCAAGTAACAATCACGATCTTCAACCTGCGCGTGATAAAATCGACGCGCTGAGTATAAAACTCAGTGGTTCTTATACTTCACATACTAAACAAAGTGCGATGGCAACTAACGTCAAATACCAATTTCATAAGGCATTGATACTCATAGAATCAGTAAATTTCAACATGAAAGTCTCTTTGTAGCAACGAATAAACTTCTAACTCATAAACATAATTAATCTATTTCTCTCATAACTCCTTTACATGAACCATGGTCTTACCTGCTGTTCATTGTGTTGTACGCATGAAATCAATAAATATGTAAGAATACATAACCGTATATGTTCATTGTCTTACTTGCTATTCATTATGCTGTATGACTTATGCACTTTTAGTCACATCAGATAAGTTATGATTAATAACAACTCATGACTGTATGGCTCCTTAAGAATTAAATAAATAAACATATGAGCATATATAACATTATACCTTCATGATCTTACCTGATGTTCTTTATGCTGTAATTAGCATGAAAGGACATAGGTTCAACCAGATTGTAGCGTCTCAGCTCGGTTCATTTGAGTTAACGGGTGGACCGGGAAAGGATGTTACACATATGTAGCAATAAACATGTACTCACATATGGAATGTAAGCACACATATCATGATACTTTCATTATCCATACTTGCTGCTCATTATACTGTATGATTATGCAATTTGTAGTCCACATAACTGTATAGCTCCATAAGGTTATAGTGAAACCGAAGTGATAAGAAAAACTGTATGAAACTGGATGAAACTGGATGAAACTGTATGCTTGGCTGGCTATGGCCTATATAATCAATATCGCACTCAGCTGTAGCCGGAGTACAAACTGTATGGGGCGCAGAATCTGCTATTCTAATGGTCTTGACATAGCCTTATCTACCAGATCTGCTATTCTATGTTGCGACATAGCCTTATCTACATGGTTTCTACCTAACCTCAATGGAGCATATTAATGGTATGTCAATAGATAAAACAAATGCACAGTAACTGTGTCATAATTTGCATGCTTGTGTCATGAAATTAACTGCTTCATCATTTCATAAAATTTACTGCTTACCTGTATGCTAATAGCCTCTCCAAGCGGGCAACTTGTGTCATGTTAGTTTCACACCATTTGCATGCTTGCATTTTGTGTTTATACATGTATTCATGTTGTCTTTTTGCTTTAAAATGATTGAAGACATACAAGTTGAGAAAAGGAATACAATTGCATAGCATTCATAACTTCATACACCATAGTGTTTTTTACCTCATTTCACATCATTTGCATGCTTGCATATTGGTTTGATGCATGTTCTCATGTTGTCTTTTTGTTTTAAATGATTGGAGGCATACAAGTTGAGCAAAGGAATTCAATTGCATAGAAAAAGAGGTCCAAAAGAGTATAAAAACACAATTCGCGAGCGCGCCTTGAAAAGTCGCGAGTGCGAGAAGCACATATGAGGGTCAGTGAGTTTACAGGTGAAATTCGCGAGCGCGCAATGAAAGTCGCGAAATTCAGCGGAGCAGCGCAAAATGAAATTCCGGAGCGCGCGACGTGTTTTCCAGCCTGCGCAGTCTGTTACTCTTTTTGGTCATATCTCTCCAATATATTACTCCGATTTGGTGATTCACATAAACCCATGTAAAGCTAACAACATAGAGGAAACAAATTAACTTCTTCTATGACACTTCTAATTCCATCATTAAATAGGGTCAAAATCAAGGTGAAGTTACTGATAAATTTTCCCAAGAAACCTGTTCAAGGCATGAACTCAATCTCTACTTTCATTTATTCATTTCATCTCATGCTTATCTCATTTTCAACACATCACACAAATTATCATGTAAGGAAATGAATTAAACTAAAAGAGATAGCACACCTTCACTTAACAAGCTTGAAATCTTCGTCTTAGCCTCCTTTTCCCTTTGAGCTTACTTCATCTATGAATAAGAATTCTTATGAATCATCTAACAAAAATATCACCAAATGAGTCAAGTGTGAAATTCAAGAAGGTTTACTTACTTGGTTAGACTAGATGTTGAATATAATGCTTGAATCCCATGAAAATTGATGGAGAAAGGAAGTAGATGAAGGAGATGAAGAAGATAAAGATGAAAAATGGTAAAGTGAATGGAAGTCTCGGGTACATCTCCAAAAATATCATGATTTTGTGTGAAAATTACCAAATGGTACCTCAAGTGTCAAAATGGTACAACTCAAATAGTACAACTCAATACCTCAACTTTATACTTTTAGTGCAAGCAATGTGCCTACATCCTTATTACTTTGATATTTTGTTTCCTTCAAGTAAGTCCACTTTCTTTTCCTTAATTTCAATTAATCCCATTCCTAGCCCACTCTAGACTCTAAATGGATTGCGAACCGGATTTTGGATCAGCTCGACCTCGACTTCATAAGCGCCCACTCTAGACTCTAATGGATCGAACCGGATTTTGGATCAGCTCGACTCGACTCTAAGCAACGACTCGATTCAATAGAAAAATGGGACGTTACAAGACTGTTTGATCAAAATAAATGATAAATAATAAAAATAATTTTGCATAAAATACAACTATTTAACATGAATAATCAACAAACTTCTAACCAACAAAATTAAAAACGCCTTATTAAAGGGCCAAAATAAATGCTGGACTGTTATTGTTTGACGACTTTGGATTTAAGATGATCTTCATGCTCCAACAAAATTAACATAATTCAATTTGTTGATAAAATCCGGCCAGTCCATTTCTTCAGCTCTTCATTGGCGCCTATATATCTCGTCTTCTTCACAACCTATATATTTGGTAGGTATCAGAAAAGGCATATAAATTCGCATGATTTCACATTCAAATTGGGTCAAATCTTTCATTGCACTTCTTTCTATATTGTCAACACTAAACTGCCTCTCCGGCAGCGTATAATAAACCGAATTTGCTGATTTGAACCACCTCCATTCCCCTGATTTGCAGCACCTCCATTCTCCTTATCTGCAGCAGCTTCATTAATCTGATACTCCATCGCCGTAGTCTAGATTGTTACTTAAGGCTGCAGGAGAATTGTGAGTTGTTACCCCAGCCAGATATAGGATTGTATATAGCATTATTAAGTGTTCTTTCTTCTTCTTCTATCACAAATATGTTATTGTTGCTTCCAAAACCAAAGACTCATGATATATTCCATACAATCACTTTGCAGACCTGTCAAAATCACGTTCTTCTTGCAATTTTTCATTAAGCAAAAGCACACATACAGTATGATTAATATTATAATTTTTTTTTAACCATCCGTGTCCGAAGCTCATTAGCCCGATCAATCTAGATTCATGTCGGGCAGGCCTATAAAGAGA